AAAAAAAAAAAAAAAAAGGTGCTACCAATGTGTATTCCTACACAGAGAGAAAGAATCAAGAAATGAAGAGAAAAAGAAGCCAAAAAAATATTACTCGATCCTCCACATGTCGTCGCTTTACAGGACGAGTTCTTCCAATCCTGCAAGAACAAGAGCTTTTCATGATTAGAACACGATATTAAGTACAGAAGTAATCAGCAATCGACTCAGCCGATATTCAACAGGAATAATGCTTAATGGGAGTAACAATCATTACCCGAAAGCCAAGCGTCGTCATCGATTAGGCGACCGAATTATGCAGGTGTGTACTAAAAAGTGAGTAAACTCAGGTAATAACAAGATATGATGAGCAAAGGCACAATGTGTTGGGAAGAAAGGTCAGTGCTATTAGGTAACCTACAGGGACTTCAAAATGAGGACCTGAAACAAAAAGCAAAAGCAATATGAGACAAAACAAGGTGAGACCCCACAGCTGAACCAAGAAAAGAGAAGGAAAGCATACTTTTTTGGGCTGTGAGCTACGAGGTGTCCCCATCAGCCTTCAATGGATGAGCTCCACCACCGTCTGGGGCCAGATTTGCAGTCAAATCAGGTAGCTTTCTTGAGGGTTGAATTATGGGAGTGTTGAACAAAGCTTTGTAAAGGAGATTCAAACAAATTCTAATCTACTCTTACTCTTTGGGGAGGAATCTTCTTGCAAAATCTTCTACGACTGTGATATACAAAGTTTCGGGTCGGCCGAAAAACGATACCTCACGATGGCTTTAGCTACAAAAGGGATAGCTCACTATGGCTGGATTGTGTAGCCATTGGATCTCGCTTTCAGAAAAAGTTTAACTCGGTGTATCCATGTGCGTATGGAAGAAGCTCTTCAACTTCGACTCTCGAACTGGAATAACTCATGCTTTTCTTTAATCTCCCTCGACTTGACTCAACCTCGGCCCAAAACACTCCATAAACCGGTCTATGATCTGAAAACCTTGACTCTCCACGGACGTAGGATAGCTGATGGAGGCCTTCTCCATGCCATAATATCCGATCGCACCTTCATAAACAGAAGACGTAAATCAGCGTGCTGAATTAGTAGACGAAAACTTTCCTACCATGCTAATGTAATAATAAGTTGAGATTGGCAAGATTGAATTACCAAGCGGGTTTACGACGCTTTTCTTTTGGGTAAGCGCCCTCTCCTGCATATCGATCTGAATTAGTTGAATACTTATATGTAGGAGGAAAGTAAATCTTTCCCTCATTCCATCCAGCAAATACATGCCCAAGTCTTTGTTCTATTCGTAGCTGCATAGGAACATGGTTGGTTAATTATAACGATGCGTTCGAAGTTCCAATGTTTTTCGAAGACGAGGTTATGCAGACATACCTGATCTTTCTCAAGCAATGCCCTCCAGTTTTGCATCTCTACGAGCGCCTTGGCCGAACGGTAAGAAAGAGCGATTCGATAGTTTAAATCCCCGAGCCAAATAACGCGACTGCAAGATAGCTTAAGATGGTCAGAACAATGAACATAACTAAATTCTGTCTGCAGATGTTGATGAGAAAATATCTTACTCATGCTCGAGGATTGTTTCAGGGGATTTCTCGTCGCTGCCTGCACCGTGAACTCGTGGAAACCTTGTCTTTTTAAGTATCTCCATCACGTCGGAGTTTCTTCGAAGCTCGTCGCCTTCTTTCTCTCCAGATGTTAAGTGAGTACAAATGAAGCAAAAGCTTGTTTGATGCAAAGACATGCTAATAGAAATCGATCCCTGCAGTAGATCAGAGCGTTCGTTTCGATTAACAGAAAAGTTTCAAGATATTAGAAACCGAAACCGTAGTTGTCGAGTGATTGATACCTTATTTCCAAGGTAGCCCATCAATCCTCTACCAACACACGAAACCTTCATGTTTCGAACATGATCCCTCAAGTCACTTTTCACCCATATTGTGAGAAATATGCCAACCATTTGTTTGCTTGCAACTAAGCAATATCTTGAATGTCCTGGCATTCTATATCCACCATCCTGGGATGACGATCCACCATGCGACATCGGCGAAAACAAAACCGTGCTCGGTGACTCCCACGAAACATTATCATCATCTGACGAACCCCATCTCGAACAGTCACTAGGCCTCGAATCACTCGGCCTGCAAAAGTCGCTCGGCCTAGAGTAATCACTCGGCCTGCAAAAGTCACTGGACCTGGAATAGTCACTTGGTCTTGAGTAGTCACTTGGTCTGCAGTAATCACTCGGCCTGTGGCTCCCTCTAAAGTTAGGACCAAAATCACTCGACCGATGACCGAAGATAACACGGTCACATACACTAAATCTTCGGTCGAGTCGTGGCTGTGGTAATGAAGGATCATTATCCATTCTCCAGCTGTGAGTTGTTTGAAACGATCGTCGATGGAAGAACGATGAATTCTTCTGCCTAGCAGATCCCTCAAAATCTGCATTTATCTCCACAACGGGTTTTGGAATTGGAGAAGGCGTGTAACACGCATTCCCCATGCTAGTTCCGGGAAGATTGTTTAGAGTCTTTCGAATGAGAGCCTGCCATTTTTTAGCAGGACCGTTGTCTTCTGCACCGAGTATATTACCAGCATTCAATGGCACTATCTCCTGAAATCTGAAATTCACAACGAAACAAACTTACCAACCATCTTCCCTTCTCCAAAACTTATGGAAGAACAAACTAAAATGAGTGAAAGAGTGTATCAAAATTCATACCCAAGAACATAAATATCAGCAGGGGGTGAGGATTGAAGCCAATCATCCAGATTTAGATTGTTAGGAGGAGATCTTCCAGCCACGTTCCATGTAGCAACAAAAATGCTGAAGAAAAACCATTCAGTTTTGGATCAAAACCAACCAAAATCAAGAACAGAAGAAGAACAAACAAATCTTTACCTATAGTTCTGCACATCTATAATTCGAGGATGGTCAAGATTCATCTTCCCTCGGCGTCCCGGCTCGCCATTTTTGCTAAATTTCTCTGAGAATTGATGAAAAAAGTTATGATAAACAGTTTTTCCAAGAATCAAACTCACAAAAACGAGGTGGATTAGCCTGTGTTTATGAACCTGTTTTGCTTTTCTTGATGGTGCAAGGCTCCCTCTCTGAGAAGCTTCTGCTTCTGTAATCGATATCACTTCCTGTAGAACAAAGAACGTCATCAATGGAGAAAGAACTTCAACCCAGAAGCAGAAAACGAAAGATTTCAATCAAAATTCAAAGACCAACCTCTATAAGCAACATCCGCTTGAAAATCCTCGCTTTTGCACCTGATATTGAACCATTTCCTGACCATTTTCTTGGACCATGAGAGCTTCAAGAACCAAAAAACAATCAGATTCCCAATTTTTTTCCTTCAGAAAACATAAGAATCAGTATATCCAAGTGGGGTTTTAAAGAAATTGAAGAACAACCTTGCTTTTCTTAGAATTCTCATCGCTCATTGTTCCACCACTACTTCATACAGCTCCCACTACTACTCAGAATTCAAGGGTTTGGCTTCAAATCATCAAAAACCCATCAGAATCCAAGACAAAGAGACAAAGAACTCTCCATCCAAAAAAACCCTTAAAGGGTTTCTTCACAAACACCCAACAAGATCAAACCCAAAATCCCCCTTCCTTCCACTAAACAAGAGAGGCCCAAAAGAGAGGGGGAAAGCTTAGAACAAGAAGAAGAAGAAATGGGGAGAGATTGTGAAGTAGAAGAAGGCAATGCAGAGAAAGTTTTAGATAGAGAGATAGAGAGAGAAAGTTTTAGAGAGATATAAAGCTCATTGAGCTTCTCTTTCTCTATTCTGTACACCAAAGGGCCTCGTTCTCTGTAAAAACAGCTAAGTATCGAATTTGAACAGTATAAAGTGCAGAGAAGAAAGAAAGAAAGAAAGAAAGAAAGAAAGAAAGAAAGAGCGAGTGAGTCAGTGTTAAGGGTCTCCCTTCTCCTTCCCCTTTTCCTTTTTAATTCTAGCTGAGACAGACTCAACATGATGGAGCGACGGGCATGCCTTTTATTACCCTTCTTTTTCTTCTTTACCCTCTCTCAAACATCCCCTAAACCAAAGGGTCTCCCTAAAAAAGCCTGCCCTCTTTGGTCAACAAAACAAACCCATGGTTAACTAGCCTCACCCTCTTGCTCGAGCCCACTACCCGTAAATATTAGACTTTCTCTCAAAAAAAAATTTAAAACTTGTATGTTCGGGAGATGTTTCGGGTTCCTAGAATTCAATGTCTGGCTCTAATACTATTGGTAATAGACTTTCCTCTCCAATCCAACCAAACCCTGTGAGCTTAATGTGTCTGTTCTTGTTCTTGTAGCCCTGTTTTGGTCTACCATGAAAGCAAAAGCAACCTAAAGAAGGCAATAAAGAAAAAGCAAAATGTGTATATGAGAGTAGTAAATGTTTCTTGTTTTGTTCTTTTGTGAGTCGAGGAATGTTTGCGGGAGAAGGCACAGTAATTTCACAAAAAGGGTCTTCGATGCCTTCTTTAACGCATTGGCTTTCGTGTTCTTCCACCTCCATTGAGCTACTTCTTTGTTTAAACTAATCAAAGCTTTGAACTTTATCATTTTTATGGCTACGAAAAGACAGGGGAGAGAAGGAGAAGACTCAGCTACATACCACAAATACTGTACTCATACCAACCAAGATCGAGTTTTTACATCTTTTTCCCAATAATGATTGGAAGAGATACGGGCAAAAGCCACTCTCTGCCCCAATATCCATGTTTTTTAGCTTCCAATTTTGACTTCGAGAGGACAAACAAAATTCACCTTCTTTTTTGGTTCCTTCTTCAATTGCTTGGTTTAAGAACATTGTAGAATACGAGGATGTTTGGTCCAAATTATCCTGTTTCTTTCATTCTGGATCATTGGATCAAATTCCTACTTTCTTCTCCTTGATGCAATATTGAAACAAGTACAAAAAAAGTATATAATTTATTTTCAGAAATTATTTCATATACGTTCCAATCCATAGTAATTTACGAACTTTACGAACGTTTTTTTTTTTACTAATTTATTAATACACGAGACATTAAATTATGTTTCTAATTTTAAGAATTCAAAACCAATAATTATTATCTTTACATTTAATAGCAGACTCGACAGTTAAATTAATGGTAACGTACATTTAATTTTTGAAAGAGACTTTATGCTTAAAAAAATATATATTTAAATATAATTAAATTTAGAGCTCTTGATTTCGATGACAATCACAAAATAGTATAAATATAAGAATATTCGAAATTTTAATTTATTTTGAATGATGGAATAACGTTCCCCACACAACATTTTTCTTTAATTTTCATATCAATTAAATCGCTCGTCGGTTTTTTCTTTTCCTTTTTTGAATATTCTCACGAAAATAAAAGTATATGGAGAAGATATTTAATATTGGTGTAGCATCAAAGGTTTCCCTACCACTACATAATTACTATAGGTTATATAGAAATGTGTGACCCACGTCATTAAAATTACTTCTAGTAGAATAGGGCCTTTTCATACCATTCTCACTTACTTTTAGCTACAAATTACAATACTTGTATTTAAAGATACAATACGCGCTTAATATAATATCAATCAAAATAATTATACCTTACTAATCAATGATTATATTAGAATAAAGTTCTACGCGATTGAATTATTTAAAAAAATTAATCAAATAAATATAATATATATATATAATAATTGATAAATTCCGAAATCCTAGGGGAGGTGTTAAATTAAATACATGAATTTGCGTGTGAGAAAAATGAATGATGTAAAATTTCCACACGAGTCAGAATTAGACCACGCGTATAAGGATTCCGGCCGCCGACCACGCGGCAGCTCTGCCACCTTGAGCATCGAAACCACCCAACCGCCGTCGTCCCAGCCTGACCGTTTTTTTTTTTTTTTTTTT